CAAAAAAAGTACTGAAGAAATTAAAGTGGACATGCTAAAGTCGCAAATAACTCAGATATAGCACAAAATTTAAAAAGAATAGAAAAAAATACATACAAAATGAGCAAATATGCTGAAAAAATCACGATTTAAAAAAAGAAAAATTTGAACTATTAAAAGAAAATATGAATCTAGAGGCGGAACTTAAAAGAAAGAAAATTCAACTTATAGAATACCAATTAAATAATATGTAAGAAAGAGATCTCAATTATAATGATTCTATATTTAAGAGCATTGTATGGGCGGATTATAAATCGCACCAAGTAACGTAAGGAACGAGAAGTACTGAACTTGAATTTATTTTATAGTATTTTAAATACTTCAGATGCTTTTTATAGTAGGTACAAATGGAATAGTGCTTTTTTATTCATATGAATACATATTTTTTGTTTAGTTAAATGTGAACTATTTTTGTTGCTTTTTTATATCAATAAAGAGATTTGATTGTATGAAAGAATTCATCAAGTTATTTCTCATTTCTTGTCCTAGAATATTATGGCTGTTTGTTTCAAAATCAGAATTTAAATCTGTCTCTATAGTGGGTACATTTTTCCTCTTTTAAGAACGCCGTCTCTGAACAAAATATAATCTCATATGTTTAAAAATATGCTGGTATCGACAGCAAGTGTCTTGCCTGTTATAAACTTATAAAGGAAGGTGTCTCTGTTGATTCTCTTGAAAGCGTTAATTTCAAGCTCGGTGTCTCAACAGCTTACTACGACAAGATTCTTAACCCTAATGTCTGGCCGTCTAATATAAATGTTCGACCTTTTCGGTTGTTTCGGAAAGAATCTAAGTCAGACAAGGAAAGCTAGCACGATATATTCTGAAACTAGTTGCTGTGACTCTTCTTTGAAAATCTATTTCCAAAACATGGGTGGTATGCACACGAAATCTAAGGAAATTTACTTAGCATCATCTCGAATGGATTATGATGTCTTTATATTCGTTGAAACTTGGCTCAATAGCGACTTCTTCGACGAAGAGTACTTCGATCCAAAACTATTTATTACGTACTGCAAGGATAGAGATTGTGTGAAGTCGGGTCACCTCAAAGGTGGTGATGTGTTAATCGCGCTAAAGCGTTGCTTACGTTCTTCAGCCTATCAAATTTTGCATCGTGATTCTTTTATCGATCAGCTATGCGTAAGTGTTTATGGCTCCTTTGGCACTACATATATTTGCGTAATATATATACCACCCAGTAGCTCTGATAGCTTATATAATTCTCATAGTGAAAATATAGTTGATCTCTGCGATACTAATATGGATTCCCACTTTTGTATTATTGGTGATTTTAACCTGCCTGATATTATCTGGATAGATTTACAGAATAACGGTATTTTGACACCTACTAACGTCATGCGATCTAACGAAATGAATTTTATTGATAGTCTCTTAAGCTGTAACCTTATTCAAATTAATTATTTATATAATACGCTATCTAAGATGCTCGATCTAGTATTTGTAGACGAAAATTTAATATTTAACCTTTCTGAGACTAATCTACCTCTGTACAAGACAGACAAACATTACGTTCCGCTTGTTATTTCTTTAAAATTTTTTGATGTAATCTCTATTCCGAGCCATTCGTGCACTTCCGCTTTTAATTTTCGGATTACCAACTTCTGTGCAAATAATGCAGTTAGCGATATTAACTGCGCTAATATTCTTTCATCAAATGATGTGAGCTTATGTTTTGATGCTTTCTTGTTTAAGTTGACAGAGGTATTTTCCATTAAAGTTCCTCCTCTTCCTCCTAGACTTCATGAATTACCATGGTATAACACTACTCTAAAAAATTTAAAGAATAAACGTAATAAATATCATAAACTGTATAAGGCGAACACTGCGAATGCTGTTCTCAGGGATCAATATATGAATTATGTGAATCAATTTAATGTGCTGGATAAGTTTCTTTATAATCGTTATATTGGTAAACTGGAAGCTGAGCTAAAAGTAAATCCTAAGGGTTTTTGGAATTTTATTCGCTCTAAGCGTGGGTCTTCCAACATACCGACTTGTATGTGCCTTAATGGTAAATTCTCTCAATCTTTGCCTGACACAGTTGAATTCTTTGCTGAGTTCTTCAAATCAAACTTTGATAGTGAGGCTGATAACCCGAAAAACTCTCACGCTCGCTCGAAATTATCAGAACACATTGACTTTGGTTCCCTCACAATCATAGATTTGGATGTTAGCACTTCTATGTCCACGCTTAAACCTTCGCTAAAATGCCACAGTGATTGGCTCTGTGCCTATGTTACGTCGCATTGCAGTTCATCATTATGTGTTCCTTTATGTCATATATTTAACAAGGCGAATTAATATAAGGTGATAGCAGGAGAACAAAAACAAAAATTTACATGTATTTTGTTTTTGCTTTGGCGGCACAAACTGTCAAAATTTGTAAGTGTGTGTGTGGAAATTCAAACAAAATTTTTCAATTTGACATTAGAAGCCGTGAGGCGAAACACATACACAAAATCAGCTGATCTAGTAACACCACCTTATATAAATTCGCCTTGATATTTAATTTGTCTCTGTTTTCTGGCACATTCATTGATAGATGGAAGATTACATCAATTACTCCAGTATTCAAATCTGGCAATAAAAATAACATCGCTAATTATAGGCCTATTGCTAAACTCACAGTTTGTTCTTAGCTATTCGAAAAAATTATAAAGGAGAAATTATCTTTCGTTACCAAGAGCATTGTTGAGCCGCACCAACACGGGTTTGTTGTCGGGCGTTCTACTGTTACTAACTTGGCATCTTTCTCGAAGGCCTTTGATAAAGTGCCTCACGCAATCTTAATACATAAACTTGAGTCTATCGGCTTTCATTCTGCCTTCCTACAATGGTTAAAATCTTATCTGTCTAATAGGACCTTGTTTGTTGAAGTCGAAAACTGTAAATCGCACTATTTTAGGGCAACTTCAGGTGTTCCCCAAGGCAGTATCCTCGGACCACTTTTGTTCGTCCTTTTTATAAATGACATCGGCTCCTGTTTCAAATTTTCCAGGTTTTTACTCTATGCAGATGACCTCAAACTCTTTCGTAGAGTTATGACTCGTCGGATGTTTCTTCTCTGCAGTACGACCTGAGTACCCTGGTCAGTTGGTGTCATACGAACAAGCTTCACTTAAATGTAAATAAATGTTTTCATATGTCCTTCTCAAAATCTTCAAACATTATTTTTTCTAATTACAATATTTCTAGCACTCGCTTGGCCTCTGTGAAAGAGTTTGTTGACTTAGGCGTAGTCTTTGACACAAATTTTTCGTTTGTCAATCATATCTCTTACTGCTTCCAAAAGCCTACAGTAACCTAGCTTTCCTGCGTAGATATGCGAAAGACTTTAAGGTTCCATACACCAGGAAAGCTTTATTTATCTCTTTAGTACGATCAAAACTGGAGTACGCTTCTATTATATGGAACCCCATTTACGGCTGTCATGCCGCCAGACTCGAAAGAGTGCAGAGAAAATTTGTTCGTTTTGCGTTAAGTTCCCTTAACTTTGATGACCCGATGCCATCTTATTTTTCCCGTTGTAAACTTATGGCCCTAGTATGTATGGCGACTGATAGCCGATGGGCAACCGTAGACTGAAATTCGCATTACGTATGGCAACTCGCATGACGGCTACTGACAAGGCTACTGAGTCTGGTAGCGCAATTTTGTGTATTATGTATGGCTACCAACTCTTTTTATAGTATACACAAACGTCAAATTGAAACAACTGATCACCATCAGATGTCATTGTTATATTTTGCGCATTTTGGAAGGAAAAGCTGAAATAATTTCTGATTACGGCAGAAAATTGTAATTATATGCTAATTCTATTTATATTGATTTATAATTAACAGTTTGATATTTCTCCAGGCCAGTGAAAATTACGAACAGCAAGCAATTTGAGCGTTTAGTGCATTTACGCAACCCAGGAATTGCAAGAGGAACTCGCACATTTGAACAAAGTAAAATCCAAAACGATGAACAATGGGACGCTTTTGCTGCTAAGATCAATAGTTTCGGCCCTCCAAATAGTGGCAGCGGGTAATTTTTACAATAAACATACTGCAATAAGCATTTTCATGGATGTATACATTTGTGTAGGTATGGATTAACTACAAGGCCAAAACAAAGAAGAAATTGAGTGCAAATAATCGAAACATAAGAACGACTGGTGGAGGCCCATCAGAGTA